CTGCAGCTCCCGGAGAACTCGCTGCCTGGGCGCAAGGCGCGGGGGGCTGGGAGAGCCTGCTCGGCCCGCTCAGAGGGCCTGCTCGCCCGGCCCGTCCCCTGGGCCTCTCTGCCCCTAGCAAATCAGTCTGCAATGTCCGCAGGGTCTTTGTTCTCGCGTCCTGGCCTCCGGGATTGGGTGGGCCCTACCTGGCTCTGTGGGCGCTTTTCGGCTGGGAATCGTGATGGTATGAGTCCGGCCCACACTCGGACCCAAGAGCCCTGCCGCTCCCGGAGAACCTTAGATATATTTTAAAATATACTTCTCTTAAAAATATATTCTCTAGTTGTGTGGCGGTTTTTGCATTTGATGCAGTCTCTTTTTTATTTTTGCTTTTGTTGCCTTGCTTTTGGGTTTTACATGTAAGGGATAATTTCTTTCACCAAACAGGAGGGATATCTTTTGCAAAAAGGAAGAGGACCAAGAGACAGAAGAGAACAGTGGAAGTTGAGAGAATAGGGGTTAAAAAAAAAAAGAATTAAGATTTGCCTGGGCATGGTGGCATACACCTGTAATCCTGGCCTTCAGAAGACTGAGACAGCAGGATCACTGTGATTTCCAGGCCACCCTACACTACATACCGGGACCGTATCTCCAAAAAAGAAATAAATATACATGCATGTATCAATTCCCCATGAGGAATGTGATCGTTGTTGTTAGTTTTTTGTCCCAGGTGTCATAATTTATGATCAAAAGCTTAAAATTTATGATCCAGAGGTCAGGATTTATGATCTGAGATGACCAATGGAGGCAGAAGGATTTATTAATGCAGCAAGGACAGCGGCACTAGGAGTACCCGAAGCAAAGACGTCAGCAGCCAGCTAGCAGCACGCGGCAGGGTTAAGGCCAGTGAGGAGACAGAACTTGGCCTGGAGAATGGAATGAGGGAAGAAAGGAGGAAACCAGCTGGCTTTAAACCTAGATTAAAAATGAGGCCACTAGGGTGAGCGCTCAGCTAACAAGTATGTGTTTCAATCATGTATTGATAAAATGGAAAAAATACAGAAAAAAAGAGAATAGATATCCTTGTGTTGCTCCAGATCTTAGAGGAAATACCTTCTATTTTTCCTGTTTAGTATAATTTTTCTCATTTTGGGGGTTAATTGTGTTCCTTCTATACAAAAGTGATGATTTCTTGTCTGTGTGTATTAGAAAACTGTATTTTTTGTTCTTCACTCTGTTACTGTGTTGTGTCGCTTTTTTGCTTCACACAACACAACCTTCTCAGACGTCGAAAATAAGTCCAAATTGCTAGTGAGGTATAATGGTTTTGATGTGCTGTGAAATTACTTTGTCTGGTGGTTTTTCAGCATTTTTTGAATCTATGTTAAAAAATGATAATTCCTACAGTTGTTTTTTTGTTTTGTTTTGTTCTGTTTGTCTATTTTTCTGTATCAGGGTATTGCTGATCTTGTAGAATGAGGTTTGAAGAATTTCTTCCCTTTCAATGTTTTGGAAGGTTTTGCTTGGAGTTGGTATTAATCTTGCTTTAATAGGTTGATAGATAGTCATCCATTCCTGGATTTTGGTTTGTAAGGAGACTTTTGTTCTTATGGATTCAATTCTATGGGTTTTTATTTTTCTGTGTAAGTTTTTAAATTCTTCATATGTATACCATATTGGTCCAGCAATTCAGCTAGTTTTTTCTAGGTTTTCCAAAAATGTTTAACCTTTTGCATGGCGTACTACATTGACTTTCCTGAAGAACATCTTGTGTACTGATGTGAAAAATGTGAATTATGTAGCTCTTTGATGAAATGCTCTATTTATGCTTTTTATATTTTTCGTTCTACAAAATATATTGTACTACTAGTTTCTATTGGTTTATTGAAAGGAATAGTTAATGCTTAATATTTTTGAACAAATTTATGTGCTTATATCTGGTAATCTGAACAATTACCTTCAAGACAATAATATGCGATATAATAACCATTGTTGGATTCATATCATCTTGTTTTTTTGAAATTCTGTATCATTTCTAATACTCTTTTTAAAAAAAGTGTCTATGTTTACTTTTTCTGAATGATATGTCCATTAATGCAAATAGGGTGTTGATATCCCAAACTACTATTACACTGGAATCTGTCTCTACCTTTCGATCAATCATATTTGCTTTTTACATGTTAGATGGATATATACTTACCATTCCAAAAGTTAGTAAATGCTGGTTTGATGCTTTTGTCCTAGTAAAATGCCCTTATTGCTCTCTTTTAAAGTTTTTGGCTTAAAATCTGTTTTATCTGATATGAGTATAACTAGTGCTCTATATTCTTGGTTGCCATATGTGTGCAATATTGTTATCCTTCCCTTTTCACTACCCGTGTGTCTTTAACAGTGAACTGAGATTCCTGTAGGCAGCATACTCTTGAGTTATTTGTTTATCCAGTCTATATTTTTAACTGAGGAATATAATCTATTTTCATCCATGGCAGCAGAAGATAAAAGTGAATTGCTATGGAAAGGTCAGGAGTCTTCCTCTCCCATCCAGGAGGTTTGACTACTGTGTACTTTGCACTCTAATTACCAAATTATGGAGAAAAGATGGGTTCAGATACTAGGATGTCCACCAGCAGAGCGTGTAAAGGACACATTAGATGAAACCAAGAAGTATTATGTAGCTGTGCCATCTAATGCCATTTCTTTGGGATTTTTCTAAACTCCTCTTCATATGTTGACTGTCCTTAATTCGAGCAGGAGGACATTAACTTCTGATTCTTTTCTTGTATATGAGGAATTTCCACCCTCCCTTTTTATTTTTTTATTTTTTTATTTTAAAAATAGAAGGAGGAAAATATTAAGACAGACAACATTTTACAAAATAGCAAAGGAAAAGTACAGACAGTACGGAGTTACAAACAAAGTGGTAGGGAATTAACAATGCTTGTTGTATTACATATTGATATCTTCAAAGTGGTTTCTCATGAAAACAGATATAGACATGCAATGCTGATCAACCAAGGACTCAC